TCAGTTGTCAGCATTTTATTTTAATGAAGTAGCAATTTTGTTTAGTTGAAGAGCACGATATATATCTTTAATCTGCGTTAAAATGAAGAACACTAGTGAAAATAGTCTTAAATTATTTCGGCTACATTTGTGTAGTTTACTGACTGATACATTCTGTTTTCTATATTTCTTGAATAAAAACCATCAATTTATTTTTCAGATAGAGCAAGCGTGCAAGCGAAAGACAATAGTGTTTTCCAAGTCAAAAACCAAACACATCAATCATTGAAAATGTCGTCATCAATAGCTAATACTCTATTTTACGCATCCAAGCAAATTACAATTTTTACATTCTTTCCTATTCTGTTTCTTGGATTCGTTGGTAATATACTTAACATTGTTGTCTTTACCAAATACAAACAGTTTCGGCATAATCAATGTGCATTCTATCTCATTATTGAGTCGATCATCGACTGTGGTCAACTTTTTTTTGGATACACTACTCGTAGTGTCCTTACCATCTTTGCTTATGATCCATCGCAGACGTCACTTGTTTGGTGCAAATTGAAGCCAACAATGTTCACAATCACCGGACTTATATCCTTGACAACAATATGTTTTACTGCCTTTGATCAATACTTGTCGACAAGCTATCATGTTGGTGTCAGACAAATGAGCACACTGAAATTAGCTCAATCACTCACTTGTATTAATGTTATAATATGGATCTTACATGGCATTCCAGTTCTTATTTCATTTCGAATTGAAAAATCGGCTGGCTGTAACATTTACAACACGGACTTTTCACGCTACTATTCATATTTTTTCTTGCTAATTCTTGTCGGTATTTTACCAATGTTCATCTCGTTTACATTCAGTATATTGGCCTACCAAAATGTACGCCATGTCATACGACGTCAAGTACCAATTGTTCGACGACGACTCGATCAACAACTTACTGCTATGGTTCTTGTTCGAGTCGGTTTCTTGGTAGCTACTACCACGCCATACATCATTCACCGTATATTGATACTCAATAACGCTATAAACTTGAGTGATCCTCTTTCTGCAGCGATTAGTCAGCTGTTCATCGCTGTTATAAGTGCAATGTACTATTCAAATTACGGAGTATGCAATTTTTTTTCATTTGTACTAATTAATAAGTTTCATTGTAGGGTACGTTTTACATCTTTCTACTGACATCAAGTCGATTTTGTCATCAAGTTCATGTTGTAATCGTGAAAAAATTCTGGAAAAAATGTTACACTCTCCTAGGAAGAACACCACTACACAATTCAGTTGCTCCTATATCACAAGATTCGAGTCTTGACATGGACTAATTGAAAAAGAACAGGCTATTGTTGATGAAAAAAAGCAGCGATTATATACAATTCTTCTACTTTCCTTGAATAAATGTTGTGATGGAATACCTGATTGAAACAATTCTTTCATATTAATCATCTTCCGGTAAAGCGTATTCAGTGCGATTCGGGGATAGAAGAGTCATGAACACTAGTTAAAATCATCATTATGATAGCATGAATGTTGATATTCATGGCAACTCATAGTTCTCTCATCATCGTATTAATTTTAGATTGAATTTATCTGTACGATAAATTGTATGAATGACGTTTTTTTTGTAAACATATCTTGAAAATTCTGATTCATCCATTAAGTTTTCAAAATGCGATTACATCGAAAATGACCGTTTGTCTTGGAGAAATTTTACAAGATGAAAATGAAAATATTTGTTATCCAGCCGCAATAGCATTGTGTTTCTAATGCCAAAGATAATAAAACTCATTTATCGAATGATATACTCGAACGACCAGCAGCGATATGACATTGTGACGATGATATTTTAGTCAATAATATCACATCTATTTATTTGATTTGGGTCAAAGAGAAAAAATCTCTATCTTCGCTTGCTCTGTATATTTCTTTAAAACATAGGATTTTATAATGATTAGCAAACAACTTTCTAGAAATTCTGAAGAATCATACAATACAATATTGAATGTAGCGTTTTGACCGCCCCCAAGATGGTAATCAAAGTTACTTTGTGAGAGATACAATATATAGACATTATTACTTATACGTAGCTTCCACTAGAGGTTGTAGAAGGAATATCTGTCAATAAACTTGTCTCGAGACTGGCTCCTTTTGAAATATATATCGGTCGACAGATCTCATTGAAATCTATCAAATTACACCAAAATCTTTCAGGAATATTGTGAGACAGTATTTCGTGTGCTCCAAATACTGACTAAATTATTAGTAATTGGTAATGATGGGTAAGCTACTTAATACTGATCAAGATCCCAGAGCTTGGAGATAAATCAATGTTTCTTAATCTTATTTTTTTAAGGACACATCCATTTCATAGTTAGCATGCATCTGGAAACATAAGCTCATTTACAGATGCTTTATTTAATAAAATTTAGAAGAATGAATTCGCATATTGTTCATCCTGTGATCTACTTTCAGTAACTTATTTATAAGTCAGACCAGAATCAACAAAAACCAAGAAAATGGAATGAATTTTTTAATCAATGAAAACGATAATTATTGGGAAGATTTTCAATGCGTATTATATAGCCACAATAAATGCATTGAATCAACGAGCATAATGAATACTTATGTATGTGACATTCTAGACACTTTTTCTTTCACTCTACATAACGGGTGGGGCAAAAGTTTTGCATTAATTTTGTTTTTAATATAACTCTGCAACGGAATGTCGTAGACACTTGATTTTTTTTTGTTAGAAAGAGCAAAGTGTCTACTACAAAACTATATAAAAGAGTCTGATTGGAAACGTTTTTTGAAGGCGATAGAGGTCTTAGAACTATAGACCCCGAAAAACTGTTCCGCAACTTTATTGAATTTAAAAAAAATTTCTATAGTTAGACAGGTTATCTTTTTATTCGTTCGATTCGACTTTTATTAATAGCTCAGGCAATACTTTCGCATTANCAACAAACTCATTCCTAGAACAACAACCATCAGTGAAAATAACAATAAAGACTTAGGTGATTATGATGATCAATGAACATGGCGGTAAAATCAAGTTCTGTTCCAGAAACTCATTTTGCGTGCTTGACGAATTTATAAATCGGAGTTTTAAGAAATAAAGGCATTGAGCATTACTCATTCGAATAACGTTACAAAACAAGGGTAAATAATAAATTCTCGTTTTACGAATTTTAATGGAATACAGCGATACAGTGAGGGTATAAGAGTATGGTCGGGATACAATGAGGACCCAAAAAGATGCCGTTAAGATAATCATCGAAAAGATGTAATTATTATTCAGATATTTCTGCCTGAACGATAAATAGAACATATCCAGTACGGATGGTATCAATATCCATGAAACTATATTGTGCAGTCAGCGTCTTTTAATTAGATTTTGTGGAATTGAAATATATTTTCGAAGAAAACAATGAGCGTAAGACTTAAGTCGCAGTTTTGTGGCTGTAGCCTTACCCTAGAGCTCCGCAATACAAACAACATCAACCACCGTCTCATTTCTCCCTCCGTCATAGACCTTAACAGCCGGGTGTAGGTGTGTTAGAACTTATCGACTGATAACAAGAATGTCGGTCCGTGTCGATAATCAGAAAGAATTCTGCAAAATATTAGGTTTTTCAAATATCCGATTAGTGGCATTTCAGAATAGAATGATTCTATGCATGAAATACACGAGAATTTTGGAAGATTCAAGGTTCCCCACACATTCTATGGTTATCATTCAACAAAGGAACGATTGAATCTATGGAATAAAAGAGAATTCTATCAAATATATAGTTCTATAGGCATTCGATGAGCGGAATTCGACAAAAGAATGATTGGATGCATCAAGTACAACAGAATTGTATGAAATCAGGGTTCTCTAGTTATTGGATTAGTGGTATTCAAAAATAGAGTTATTTTATTTGTGAAAAACAAAAAGATATCTGGAAAATTAGAGATTCTTCAGATATTCGGTAAGTAGCTATCAGTAATAAAGCTGTCCCTTACATTGGATACAAGACCATTTCAAATTTAATGTTCTATAGATACTAATTTAGAGATCTTCAACAGTACCATTATTGCATATATAGGATACGAAAAGTGCTGAATAAGATCAAATCACCGGTAGAGATTTCGTTGACTGTTAGCAGATGAATGTTTCTAACGAGGGAGGGTTCACAAGTGATCCAAAACTTTCACGTCGAGTCTGTGTGCATTATGTAGACCACCATGAGCTATGAATGTCCTGAGAATAGTTCGGGCCCATTGCTTATTATCACCAAGATACTGCATTTTTACGGCGTTTTTAAGCAGTGCCGTGATACTCCTCAGAAAAATCAGAAAAACTAAGTTTGGAATTTCGATTTGAAACTTTGTATAGTGACAGGCCTCAATGAGAACGACAATGGAAAGTTCACTGTTCTGAACAAAAAAAGAAAAAGAAAAGTTTCAACAAAATTCTGGCGAAATTCAAATGTGAGACGCGATAGATCTACTTTCTTTCGTGATCTGTGAGAGAGTAGAGTCTTTTTTGTCTTGCTATAGACATCAATACTAATCAATAACAACAATTCTAGAAAATCAAAAACGATTCAACTCCTCGTATTTCCCATTGCATTGAAAATGATCTTATTTTTTAAGAAAGTGAGTGACGGTCGTCTCTTCGTCCACACCCATGATGATGGATCACTGTAATTTTATGAAAAATGATTTTCAAGTTGCTGAGGCGAAATAACTTTGGATCAGATTTTTATTTCCTAGTTGGCATGCTGATAATCATGTCAAATATCCATTCATGTTTATCGGTGTTGTTTGTATGTGTTTCTTGAATCGAGTATTGACCTATCTGTGTTATCATATAATCCATGAGTGTAGACATAGTTCATCTTTATTAATTCATCTAAATTAATGTACTTATCATTGATGTATGGAATGAACATACAAGTTCAATTAAAATGCTCGATTTGATATTTCTTTTGTGAGCAAAACTATAAGACAATAAAAGTTCAAAAGCGCTGAGCTTCTGTATTTGGTCTGATCCGATTGGCATTGTTTATTAGAAAACCAGGTGCTAAATTGAAACAATCAGCAATACTTCGTTGAAGACTTGGTGTATTCTGGCAGAGAACAATAAGCAAAAAGTCCAATGTTACATTCCCAATTATGATTAAGACTCGCATACAATAGTGAGGTAAAAGATTAGGACGAATTATATTCATCAGCATAAAAATAATTGCTGGAATGCCGAGAAGTACGAATTGAAAGTTGAGTAATACAATGCGACGGATCATTGTCAAATCTCGATACATTCGTAATTGGTGATTACCATTGACTCTTGATGAGATTTGATGTACATAATTTACTAGGCGACGACACAAAATGACAAGAACAATATCCGGTACAACGAATGTCAATGCACTCATATAAAATATAACATGTAATCTTGACAATGACATGAAACATAGATTTTCTATATTTAATTTCACAATGTTATCTGTTAAAAAAAAAGGCAAAGCAAAAGTAAAATCAAATATCCATTGAATAAGAACGATGAACAATTTTCGAGTTTGTGTATCAAGATATTTGATTCTTTTAATCTTAAAATATTTTTCTATTGCTTGTAGAAGAAATGAATGATGAATACAAGCGATGGTAGAATGATGAATAAAGGTACGTAATGTACAAAGTGAATCAATATTTGGTACTCACTGTTGATCCCAGATTAGCACATAGACAGTCACAGCTATATTATCAGCAGCAAATAGAAAAATGGCTAGAGCAGTATTACAAACTAATAGAGTAGGATAATTAAAACAGTGTATCCACACCCACACCCTCACTTAAGATTTTCTGTAGAAAATATATAACGAGTGATGCACAAATCCTTTCACAAACCTTTAGTAAACGTAGAAAGACTGTATGTTGTCAATATGTTTCTTGTTTGCTAAATGATGTCCTAACAAATTTTATTTTACGTTCATTTTTCTGCTTGTCCAACAACTGACGCTATACAGAAGCTGAAATTCGAAATTGTAACGCATCTTCCAGATCTGATTATCTTGAAGGAAATAACAACAATATACTGATGTCGAAATACTCAAATCAAGATTATCATATTTGGTACTGATTCGATACACTATAATTCTTATAAAACGAATCAATACAATTGGAAAGATTGTTCACGTTGCATGTAATAAAACATAGGACAAAAAGATTAATTGATGAACGAATCCTCACACGCATGTGTCAGGTAACATTGAGATTTAGGCAAAACTAAATAAAGTTATTAAAAAGACTTGAAAATAAAAACAACAGGAAAATAAAAGAATAAATACATGATTTTATTTATTTATATTAAGTTATGTTTAACTTTAATTGAACATTAGCTAAGCTTAGGATGTTGTATAGAGTTCTCCAGTGTGTTCTGTTGAAATCTAGTTGAGTTTTGAAAGTTGAAAAATGCGAACTAATAGACAATATTTCTGGGTTGAATATAACAGCATTAGTCTTTCAATGAATTTTTTTAAATTGTTTTTTTACTATTCTAATAACTTATTGTCATGCATTTTTTTTAGATAAGAAATTTATTTTGATTATGATCTCGTGCAACAAATGATTTATATATGACAGCCGTGAGAAAAGCTGATACTAGATAATGAATCACATAGATAATCCAATTATCAATCACTAGTATGTTTTAAACATGTTGCTATGTATTAATGGAGTTTTCTTGTTAATGAATAATACAATGTCTACATCTCAACTTTGGTCAATTGATCAAAAAAATAGGTATCCTAGGTACGCTGGCAGAAAACACTCATCCGACCAAAAAAAAAAGAAGGAAGTTTAACGTTATCTTCCTTTCAATATTTTTTCGCATCTCTGTTCATATACGTTAAGTGTAAGGTTATGTTTATTTTATATGTTATGAATTTTAATTTAAAAAATGAATGTTTAAACGTTGAGAAAAGAGCTTATTGATAATGTTGACAGCATAGGATGGTTTTATTTTTTGACATGAAAGACAAATTTTTATAAAGATTTCTAAAAGATCTTGGTTATACCAACGATAATTCATCGAGAAACTATTAGAGAGATTTGTTGCGTCCTATGTGAGCTGTTTCAACATGAGTACGTTTATAAACATTAAACATCTACATGATTAGTCTTGAAAGAGTACAATGATAAAAATAATATCTCTGATATTGTATTAATTAGTGAATTATTCTTTTGAATCCTTACATTGTATTTTGTATAACTCAGATAAATTGATAATAAATTATTGTTTAAGATACAAAAATGAGTACAGAAAATGATATTATCGATATACATAATTCAAATTTTAGTGTAATATGTAGACATTTGTTTATTCATTTTTACCTTTTTGTTTGTCAGATTATGAAAATAAGAGTCTGAATGGGTGCGAGTGTCAGTGAGTGGGATGCGAATATGGGGTGCTGCTTGATCCTTAGTCAATGAATAGTGTTCTTTACATTGGAAATTATCCTAAACTTCATAAACTTACTCTTGTTAATCTCAAAGTTAAAATGGCTACTCGTATTTTCCTTAATACGTTATTTGATCTCATTATTTACAAATAAACATAATTAAATTTATCAATTTGTTCCTATCATTAAACATCAGATTTCTGATTTTGTTGTAATGATTAATGGTACCAGCCAATATAAATATCGGTGATATTTATGCCCATATATTTTTGTCAATATTGATATGGAATTTACAAATCGAACTCATTTTCACTTTGATTTAAAAAATACAAATCTTTATAAACTAAAATCACTTACTAGTTTATCACCTGAATGGTATTCATCAAGTATTGTTCATTTAAATATCAAAGTGAAGACTTTTGATGATTACCTCTGCTTACTCGATGACCATTTTAGTCAATTACATACATTTATTATTCATGTCAAACACATTTGTAATACATCAAAGATCATCAGTAATACGGGCAATTATATTTTAAATCATAGTGAAATACTTCTTTTATTTCGATTCTTGATAAGACAATAAAGCAATTATATATCGAAAAATAAACATAATTCTAAAATGCTATGAGTTAATATAGTTAATAAAATTTTCATTTGAACATTGATGGATAAGAGAAAAGGATCGAAATAGAATGAACAATACTTACTATTTATATTAATTTTTACAGAAAATTCTCTCGAATTTAAAATGTTTCTCGTTGATTTCATTTTGTATAACATTAGAATATGATAATCATATTGCCCTCACTCCTTCGTCAAAAGTCACAATTAGAAAAATTAACAATATATCTTTATGCTTGTGGTCGAACATCATTTATTAATGGCACTCATTTGAATAATGATATCATTAGAAAAATGCCATATCTACACACATTTATTTTTTATATTGTCACCGAACATGTCGTAATCGATAAGGAATATTTACCAACAGCTAATGATGTTTGACGTGTGCTCATCCAAAGAGGTCAATGTCATATTTACTCGCTTTCCTTTACTGTGCAGCGTATAAATGCAAATAGTAATAAATTTCTTCCTGGCGATATATTCATGCATGTTCGTAAGTTATGTGTGAGTGATCCGATGCGTTCAAATGAATATAATTTCTTCGTTCTAATCTCACAAGCATTTCCATTACTTGACGATTTAACCGTGTCAAGTATGGTGAACCAATCGAAATGATCAAATAAACTAGTTGAATATGAATAAACATTTTCAATTATTGAATATTCTCATCTTGTGACACTCGATCTAATTATGTCTCATGTCGACTATGCGAAACAAATTCTTCTCAACACAAAAATACATGTTTACCTGGTCTTAGTACACTACGTATGGACTATAAAAACTTGATCAACGTAAGAGAAGATTTTGCAAGTAATACAGCTCACGTCAACTGTACAAATTTAAAAAACCTTATTTTTCATACACACCTAAGAATCCTTGGAAATTTTTTTTTACTTATTTTCCTCTTGTTATAAATATAAATGAGAATTCATTTTAATTCAATTGTCTTATTTTATTTATCAATAAAAACAAAGTAATGAACCCAATGGTTTATTGTTGGAAAATGTTTCTGTAGTATATATATATAATTTCAACATTTACATTAATGATCGTTACTTTATATGGAGCAATTTTAGTGGTGACTCGATCTGATAACGATTTGAAAATGAATACTGATATAAACGAATATTGTTACTTGAGTTGATTTTTAGGTATATTTATTTTGATTATCTTGAGAAATGTATAACAAGACGAGTTTTCAATAAAATTTTAAAGCTTTTAAATTACCAATAGTTCTTTACACGCATTTTCTTCTGACATAACGAATAAAAGTGATAAATAATATATCTCAATTGAAAACAATTTCTTTGTATAAAAAACTCTGAGGTTCTCTCGTTAGAAAATCAACCATCTTTTAATTGATTTATTTTTGTAAAATCTAACTAACAGGCACACTTTGTCATAAATACGTGGTTATCATTTTCGTCAAGCAGATGTTTACTCACTTGTTTGCTCATATTGATATGAACACGGTTATATTTCCTCGTACCATCGACATCATACATCAACTTTTTTCACTTTTCCTGTTAAAATAAGAAATGTTTGTTTATATATAGTGAGACAATTTCTTCATTTCTATCATCTGCATCTTTCGCATTCCATACAGTCACTCATTTTACTCTACCTCTTCAACAATCAAATTGAAGCTCAAAGTGCACAATATTTTGACAAGTTTAAGAAAACAAATACAAGTAGAAATGTTTGGTGATGATATAAATTTGGAAAAATCTGATAGATCTTTTTTGTCGATTTTATTAATAATCAACATAATAAATGAGATATTTTTATACAAGATGATTGTTAATCAATATTCCAAAAGGAAAATCTATTGATGGACATTAGAGTGTTTGATGAAAAACTAGAAAAAAAAAGAAATATTTAGTGCTCTTAATAATATTTTTTTTTGAAAGAATCTATATAAAGAAGAAATTATTGTTTGACGAACTATTGAAAAAAGAAAAATAAATTTTGTATTTTATTTTAGAAAGAAATGAGATAAATAATATTAATCAACTCAAAAAAATTATATTTTGTATTTTTCAAGTGTTTATTGTCATAGTCTCGAAAGTGGAAGATATTGCTGAACAAATTGATCTACCTTTGATTTCTAATAGTATATATAAATTGAAAGGTCATCCGTATTGAAAGACAGTTAAAAAACAAATGTTGGGGACAGATGAAAATTTTCAGGTTTGCACAGTTCTTAACTACATCTATTTTTCATAACTATTTTCTCGTATTCTGAAATATACATTAAGAGATAGAAAAATTTAAATAGATATTGTGATATAACCGAGATTTTACCGGCATTTTCTATAAAAAATTGTGACCATCTTTATCGTTTTTGCTCGTTGAACTTAAGCAATCGAGAGGCTGGCAGATGTCTAAAATTTATGCCAATGGGAAACTTTCGTTTGAAAAACAAAATCGTTAGTTTTATACAGCAAAACTGTTTGTATCAAATAAACATAAAGACAGATTTCAGACCTGTTTAAACAGGTTCAATCCGGTATAAGCGTTATCTTTTTTCATTAAATGACAAATAGTTATTTATGCAGAACTTACCCTAAAAGAAGTGTAATCTCAGTGTTTGTATTTTTTTTCTGATGCGCTAACCTTGATTTACCTCATACTTAATCAAAATTTTGTTTTCAATATTCTTTAAAAGGGTCTATTTTATTCCAAAAATATATTTGATTCTAATGCTTTTGATGCTCATTAAACGAGTCATAACATCGAATAAGAAATATTTTCTTTTTAATTTCCTTCCTGTTTAATTTGATAGAAGAAAAACCTCGTTTTCAAATTTTATTTTCTCTTAATTCAATTTTTTGAAGAATAAATCTTCATTTTCAAGATTTAACATGCACAAACAAAAGAAAATATATTGCACAAAATTGAATTATTTTATACAGAACATAAACATGAACAAAGAGAAGAAAAAAGTGTTCTATTTGTACAATTTATAACGAATAGAACACTTTTCTTTCTTATCTTTGTTCATGTTTGTTCTATATGAAATTGTTTCAATCTTATGATTAGTCTACCGACAAATCGAGATGAATCATCGATTCATTATCAAATCATGAGCGTTAATGTATTTTGATTGGTCAATTTGTATCGATTATTTCTCGGTAGAAACACTTTTTTGGAAAAAACTAAAAGCACAGTTAGATAGAGAAACGTTTTCTCTATCGATCAGTATAAATCAAAAGTTCGGCCTATTTTTTTTTGCGAGAAAAACCCACTTTAGATGATCTGCATTTTGATTGGTCAGTTTTTATCGATTATTTCTCGGTAGGAACACTTTTTTGGAAAAAACTAAAAGCACAGTTAGATAGAGAAGAGTTTTCTCTATCGACCAGTATGGATCAAAAGTTCGGCCCATTTTTTTTTTGCGAGAAAACGTCGTATATAGCGCATTTGATATTGATTTGCTTAACTGATAATGTTTTTCTTTCTCTGTCTGCGTACTAGATAGCTTTACTTTCATTTAAACCGAAACGATTCTATCTAGTGACATGAAACTTAACACAGAAACGATGAATCTCGAACGACTGGTTAACGAACTGCTGCTCGATATCTAGGAAGTGTTTATCTACTTCAAGCTTTTTCTCGTCTCAATACTCGCTTTAATTATCTTCTCATTCACCATTTTCGATCAATATCCAAGCACAATTTCGATACTGTCTGTCGACAAAATCTTCCATTGATTGCTGATCGTATTACTGGACTTCGTCTTTCGAACGACGCGATGATACACCATAGCAAATTGATCTCTTTCTATCTGACTCTTTTGGTCTTCATCGTTTTGTTCAATTAAAATCGCTATTACTCTACCATCTTTCTTCATATGAAATCATCAAAAACGGCGTCTAAAAATGTTGTCATTTTCGTCTTCTTACTCATTTCAATTTGATCAATTGTCATTTAAAATTTCATCGAAAAACATTACGTGATATTCTCAATCGTATCTGGCATTTACCTAAACTCACACATTGTCATCTCGACTTGCATTTCCGATCCACATCTGAATTTCCCATGCCAACGATTCGGTCAACATCGATTGAACATCTATGTATTGAAGATGTTTCGTTGGATTCTCTTCGATTAATGCGATTATTTAGATGCACACCAAATCTTCGACATTTAACTGTTTGTATCGATAAGTTATCTAAAAATGCGCAAGTTTCATCTGTAATCCAATCAATATCTTCAGTAAAATTCGTCGTCGATCATCTAACTTATGGAACGATTAATCTACTAAAAAACATGCCAAATTTAACTCTTTTAACTCTTCAAACTGGAAAACATCATATGAACGGTCATAAATGGAAATACCTTATTGGTGATTATTTACCTAAATTGAAAAAATTCCAATTTCTGATGTTGTTTCTTGTTAATAATGAAGAAGAAATGAATGAAATTCTAGATTCATATCGAACTCCATTTTGGCTTATTGATCATCAATGGTTTGTTCGATGTCATTGGAACTTAGAAATTGATAAAATCTAGATTTGTTTTTATACTTTACCGTATGCTTTCTCCTTTTACTCATACATTTTAAAAAAACTTCAATACTTGCACTAAATCAACATGTCCTCATGAAGATGACTATTGTTCTTATTTTACTTCTTGACCATTGGTCACTGGGATTCATCTATCATTCAAAATCTACCATCGCATCTCACCAATAATTCAATTCGTTGACTCGGTTTGCAAAGTTATCATTATCTAAAACGTGATCGCTGTTTCAACAGTGAACAATGTGCGACATTTCTTCGTTCATCACTCGTCAAACAGTCTGAAGTTTTACAAATTGTCGCCGATAATCGATCGAGTATAGATGATCTAATTAATGGAATGTCCAATCTTCAAGCGTTAAAGGTGGTGTTTCAATCTGACCAATGGGACAATCATTTTCCTAGACAAAAAAGAATTCATTACATGGATGACATCTGATTATTCATATACTTTTACAGAAAACTTATGTGGTAAAGAAACTATTCGATTATGGATTCGTTAATAAATAAAGAAAATGTAGATTGTTAGTAGATTAATTATAATTCAAACGTTTGATTCATTTGTCTTTGTGTTTAATAGAAATAAAACTCAAACAGAACCTCAGTGATCATATAAAATTTCGATTAGAGTTGTATGTAAACAACAGAATACAACTTCATTTTTTATAGAAGAATCCATTTGTGAATAGTTGTCAAAACTTAGTTTGTTTTTAGAACATTTTATTGAAATAATAAAATTGAGAAAAAAAGATGTGTACAACTGTAAATATAGTAGATTAATATTTATTGATAAACAAAGAGATTTATGAAAGCTTCATATTCTGTATCATTAGGGTGTGGGTATCTTTTCATCAACATCCATGCCTAAGTACAACTTATTCCTAACTACAGACAAAATACTAGTTGATGAAAGCAAGATTTCAGCACTTTGCATATATTACGTCAAGCATGTACGCGAGTACTTGTCATTGATCTAGAGAAAATTCCTGAATAAAAACAGGAATAAATGGTTTTTATTTTACTTTTTTCTCTGATCATATCACAAGTCAAACATAAAAATCCTCATTCACCAATTCAACTAGAAAATCTCTTCTTAAAAATAATGGTCTTTGTACAAACAGGTTTGCCAATAGATGAAAGCCTCAAGTCACAATGATAATGAGAAAAACAGATTATTTCGATAAATTATTTACACCTTTTTTTTGTGACTTAGCTGTACATGAGACATTAGTTTTTTTTTTTTATTGACAAAACATTAAAATATTTTCTAGAAAGCAGAAAAATCGTGTTTCATTATCTGTCGAATCGATTTTCAGATAAACGACAAATCGATACATATATGTTATTCGACAAGAATGAAAGACCTTTTTTCTCAAAGTAACTTATTTTCCCTAATTTTTTCTTTTCTTTTATCTGTAAATATCTTTAAGTAAATTTTTTTTTTAATTTTCTTGTTTTTTATTTAACTTATTTTATAACTTATAATACATTGTCAAGATATTTCTCGGGCATCGCCGCTTTTATTTTGAATGATCAACTAGTAATTATATCTATTCTATTAAGATATAAATATTCAAAGAAGTCTTCACACTTGTTTATTTAAATAAAGCGACACAGCAATTCATTTGTTCAAGGTGAAAAGCCGTACCAATTGACGTTCCATTGATATTGAGCTGACCAACCCATGAGTGTATCGGCTGACTGATTGTCTGTTGAGTGAACATTAATAATGAAGCCATTTCTACTCGGTTCATAGATAGCATTGACACCGACAAGAAGGTAATGACCAGCAGTACCCGATATGCTCGTGAAATACATCGGAGTATTTTCAAATCGACAACTGCTCGTGTCAATATTCATTCGTATTGTGTCTGATCGACTTGTTCTTTCCCAACGAGTTAATGGTGAAATACCTCCACAAGCATTTCCGGTGGACGGAAGCGAACTAGCAACAGATTGGGTTTCACTTGACCATTTTGCATTACAGATAATAGTGAGGTTGACCAACACCAATAGAAACAGAAGAGAATTCATTTTAAAGAATAGTATGAAGAGGTGTGTGCCGAATTGATTATATATTTCGAAAGAATCAATGATGGGAAAATGCAACAACTGACAAATGATGCAGCATAATTTTCCTTTGAAAGCTTCATCTATTGAAATTTTTCTGTACTGTCATCGTGAAAACACGAATGGAAGGATGAAGTACAGAATATGATGCACGAAAATAACCAACTTTCAAACGCATCGAACTTGCAGCCCTATCTTTTCTTGAGAAAAAGAACAGATGCATACAAAAAAATGACGAATAAGAAAAAAAAGATGTCACAGTTAACTATGAGATGAAAATGACCTTGTGATCAAAATTCAATTGTGCTTGTGACAATTGATTTCTTCACATTGACTGCAAATTATGTTCGAACACGCAGATAAATATTTAACTAATAGAATATATCTGAGTTAACTAGAATCTATTACTAAAGTATTCGTTTTATTATTATTATTTTTTTCTCTTATGAGAGATAGAATTTGTAGCTCAAGTCTATATTCAATTCATATACAGTCAAAACTGAGATTACGAAGAAAAAAAATTATTTTGGCAAATATTGGCATCGTCATATCGATTATAGTTACTGTTTCTTGCTTTGATATTATCATTTTAATCCGAAAAAGAATCTCTATGTTGTGCTTTCTTTTAACATTGGCGCCTGTTGTTTTTGAAATAGGAATAACATTGAAGAGCTATAAAATCCCAAACCATTGTTAAACTACTATAGACTTAACTAAACTGTTATAACTTTAAGAGTATCAACATGGTTTATACTGAATAGAAGGAGGTCTATATAAAATGTTCGATAACCATTCATCTATAAACACACAAGGAATCATTTCTTAGACAGCTATGCATGTTCCAAATAGTAGAGATCAATAAAAGTAGATCGAACAAGCGATTTTAATGAAGAACAACTGTGTAAGAAAGTATTCTAGGAATGATGCGTTCATTAACTAATACACATTCAATGCATGCTGACAAACGAGCACATCATGAACGATTTTTATTTGTGCGAAATTGATTCGAATGAGAAAGAAATTATAGGACAATTTTATATTTTATTGTATTAAATAAATCCGGCTAGATGAATAGATAAACATCAGTTGACTTTTTTTTGCATGGAACTACGCCTGAGTTGAATCAATCAGATGAAATAACTTGAAAAAGATTGTTTACAATTGATTATTTGTCAATATAAAGTTGAAAAGAGGATGATTTTGTGTAACAACTTGGTCACTGATTATTTCCTGTTGAAAAAAGTGAAGAATTGCATGAATAAGTTTTCCTTCTATCACCATAAAGAAAGGTTAAAAAACAAAAAAAAAATAATCGATAACATGAATATGAAAGTCATTTATAGATAAATTTAATACATCATAATCGTTAATAATTCTCGAAAGCCATGTAGTTTATACGAATATAATTATCTGAACAAACTTAAATATTATGTGTAATACTCATTTTTATAAAAAAAATTTAAAAAAATAGATATTTTACTGCATGGATATTGAAGAGACGAGTCGATAGAGGGGAAAAGGATTGTTCATAAATGGTATGAGACGTTTTTTGCATATTGAATGTGATTGTTCCTTGATCGATAATACTCTTAAATAAAAGAATAATAAAATTTGTCGCGTATTATGGTTAAGTTGGTTAGTAATCATCGATATATAATGAAAAACATAAAATCAACAACAATATTGTTTGATGCTAGTAATTCCGATGATCTTCTAATTTCTCTTCACTCCTCTACAAATCTATGTTTTTCAATGATAATTAGTGGCCAAGATATATCCGATAATCGATTCAAGAATATCTTTACGCAATTATCTATTATTATTATTACTGATTCTTACTGGTGATTGATAATGAAAATGAATTTTTTATCATGTTTCGTCATTTATTAGACAAAATGACAATTACTGAACATAAAATAGCTTCACGAACAGGGAAAACTATTGATTTGAACGTCACAAGTCTAATAAATAATTTGTTCGTGAAAATATGCATCGGCAAATAATCAAAATGGATTAACAATATGATTATTCATTAAACACATGAAAAATGACTTTAATGTGATACAACAAGGAATTTATCACACTTAAAGAATGAAATATTAAATAAGATATCAATCATAAACTCAAAAGGAATTATAGGCAATCGAAATATGACTAAGAAGCTATTACATAGACATCATAAATAAAATGATGTCTTTATTTATTTGTATATTATTTGATTTATGATACTTAAAAGAATGAATTATGCCTTATTTTGATTCACTTGACTGGTTGTCTTATTGGTTGAGAGTCAAACAAGAGTAGACGATGAATCTAACAATATTTTGACAAAAATCAATTCTTTTTCATATTCAGAATCGAATATCATATACATTACTATTTTATTAAATCTCATATCTGTTGAAAATATAAAAGGGTGAATCCATGGGAAACCAACCACTATTTGGAAAAAGTTTTTTTTCTCAAGTTTTTTCTTCTAGTTAGATTGATCATCGATAGAAAATAGGTTTGGCCGAAAAATATTCCTAAGAAGTACTTGATATCCAGAAGATCCAAGCTGCTGTCTCGGTACAACTATGATGAGAGTAGATCACTTCGGTAACTCCAATGTTTTGAGCTAATATTTTGAGGATAGGTAGATGAAGACTAGACTAGAAAAACCTCCAAAATATTTGTATTTTCAATGCATCAATACTGAACTACGCCATTCATAAGTAAAATGATTTTTACACAATCAGAATAAAAACACATTTTTCATAATACATACATATTTTTCATTTTTCTTGAGAATGGCGTAGTTCAGTATTGATGCATTGAAAATACAAATATTTTGGAGGCTTGTCT